CGTGGCGGTATATGTAGAAATAATTATCAAGAAAGCAACGAGGAAAAGAAGGAGATGACTAATTACTTCTTATATACATATATGCAAATTTGCGATGCGCACAATTTTCCTCGGAATGTTAGCAAAGTACTTATCGCTTGGCTTATTTGTTGTCTACAGTATCTGTTAAGAGTGATTGCAGTAATTAGAGAAGTGATATGTACATATATACATATATAGTGACCTCATATTTAAAATGCAGACGTAATTAAAAAATTTTGTTTGACAGTTACTTTAGGATGCATAAATTTAGGATGCACTTGTAACATTTCCAATTAAAATTATGTTATTAAAGAGGATTTAAAAAAAATTTCTAATCACATTGTAATCGAAATAATATTTTTCGATTGTTACATGTATGGAAAGTTAAAGTTTGCGCTGTATGTTCGTAAAATAAGTCTTCTTTAAAAAGTACTTGGAATGTCTTAAAAAATTTATCTTATCGATTAGAAATTGATCGATTAGAAATTGTAGAGTGTGGTAATGGATATCGGGCGATTGTACACACAGGATTGTAAAAATATTGTTTCATAGATGAAATGTCCAAATGTCTCGGTAGGCATGTCTCTCCATTGCTTGACTTTGTACGTATGTATGTACATTATATACATGACTGTGGTACAGCCTATACAGTTAGGAAACTGGTTTTCGCCTCCTCTTGCGTCAAGCCGTACTACTCGTATGATCGAAGCCATTTCGCACATTGGTACAGTTCTCATTGTATTATCTTCACATATAAATAGTACCTGGTATCTACGAATGACGTACAGAGTTCTTAAATGTCGTTTTATAATTAACGGAAGGTGTCAGAATCGTTTTTCCATCATATTTTAGAGACGATTATTTTTAGTCGTTAAGGCGCAATTTCTAATAATCACTCGCACGCGAGAAAAATCTAACTTTACCTACACTTCGTCTTTATTTAGCTTGATAACGTCAAAGAGCGAAATATACGGATTCAAGATGCGAAAAAGTTATACGTTACAGTGAAGGGGAAAGACGGAAATGGGATTTCCCTTTTTTTTTTTTACATGAATCACATTTTAGGACGGAGCACGCTAATCTCATGTTATTTGTTCGACAGGATAGAAGATGCGATTAACGGTTTTGAACATGGTATTTTAGCACGGGATTGACCGGATTTAATTATTCTCAAGTTAACCGCTGTCCAACTATTGAACTCGCGGTACCTTTCGGAAAGCGGTCCAGCTTAAGTGCTCGGGTAAAGCCTACTTAACGTAACGTGGTTGATTGCCGTGCTGTATACATATATATATATATATGTGTATATATAT